CCCCAAAACCCCAAAACCCCAAAACCCCAAAACCCCTGCTCTATTCTTTTGTAAGTTAATGAGATTTTCTAAAAACAATAATAATTGTGAGTATAGCATTAAGTTATAGCAAATGGTATTTCATGAGATAAATTGTCTCAATAGATGTTTGATTCTCATTATAAATGTTGATTAGCATCATCCTCATCTGAACTATATTCATCCTACTTCTCGATTGCTTCCAAATCATTCCCACCGATTTGAATATCATCCAAAAATGGTTAGTATCCGAGTTTACTTTCCTTAACACTTGAGAATGGAAGATCTATGCTGTTTCTATAATTTCCATTAATCTTGTTTGAATTAATTACCCTCTTGCATTTCTTGCACTTAGTGGTTCTGGTGCTTTTTTCTCCTCTTCAAAGAAGAGCTCTTCTTTTTAGAATTACTTGACACTCTTTTTGCTGATCATTGGAAGTTTCATTTTAGGAATGTTGGTCTCATCCACTTTATCCTCAATGTGGAAGCATTCAGTGATGTCATAGTATCTCTTTGAATCATTTGAAGAGGCTGGTTTCCCTCTCCAGATTCTCATAATTGCTTCTGTGTGTTCTGTGTTTTCATGTCTACCTTCGAAAATTAGTTTGGTATCAATTTTTGCCTAAATAAATTAATCCTTTTAAATCTTACAATAGCTTGATTCTTCTTGATATACTCTACAACTGATTGCTTATATTACTGATCACTAGCCATAAGAGCAAGTATGAATTCTACAAGTTTCTTGAGCTTCTTCTTTCTGTCATAGATTTTGAATAATTTAGGCATGCTATTTGTTAATAGCACTGGTGTTGGCTCAGAGTCTTTTCTTAGCATTTTTTAGGTAATCAATAAAATAAGGGCTTCCTCAACTATGTAAACTTATAACAAACAATAATCTTACTTGTCTTTGAGAATTTATCTGTTGAAATACTACTTATGGAGTCTGTGATGAATTGCATCAATGTCTAGTTGTCTTTGAAAACTTTCACTGCATCTGAGACATCGATAATTAAGAAAATGATCTAGAAAAAGGTAATCCTTATTTCAACTGGGATATGTCTACTCAAAAACACCTAAGTTTGAAGCCAATAACTTATGATTTTGTAAACTTTGTCATCAAGTTGTGTTTAATCAGTAGTTTTTTCAATGATCTACTTATAAAATTTAGTTTCAGCGTTTTTATCCTCTCTTTTATTTGCCATAAGTCTATTGGAGTTATAGTCATTAAGTAGAAGCTACTCAAGACTCAGAAGTAATGATGTGAGGAGTATTAAAGATTTATTGCAAAGAGCTTTGAGTTTTTAACTGTTATTAATGTTTATTTGAGGCTCTCTTCCAAATGGATCATCAGGCTCATCTTTACTAAGCTAACCTTAACTTATCTTGAAAAGTTCCTAAGATACAACCCATATGTCTTAACTCAAATGCAAGATAAAAGTGTTAAGCTTAGTATTAATAAAAACAGCTGGATTCTTATTATAAATTCTTAAAATTACATCTTTCACTATTATCTCATTTTAAAGCTTAGGACTATATATTATAATTATAAAAGTTTGAATTGACTTACTTCACTAATGTCTCAGTTTCAAGTAAAAATTAGTAATTACTGTCCTCATAACTTCTTACTATCTTTTCGCAGTTTCTCTTAATTCTTTAATGACTTTCTTACTTGAGATTTGAATTCCAGATTATAAAAACATTCTCAAACTCAGGGGCATCAAGCTCCTTAATGAATTCAATAATCTTTTCTGTATCAATATCATTATGTTGCTGCTTTTATTGAATCTCAACAAAGAAATATGCAGGGATATATCTTTCATAAACTCCAGATGTATGATTGTAAGATTAAAGTATAAGTTTGATAAGCTCAACTCTGTCCTTTTTATTTGTATTCTAGGTTTTCTTTTCAAAAATTTGATTTAAGATGAACATAATTAGTCCAGTGGCAATAAGGAATTAATGGATATCAGATTGCCTAGATAATATCATATTTTGCAAAATAGAGATAATTGTTTAAGAATCTATAATGTCATTCTCCTTTTGATAGAGAGCTCTGATAAGCAATCTAATAAAATCATTATTATTTTTTAGATAGTCAAAATGCTGGCCTCCTGTCTTGCTTATATGTAAAATGATCTCAAGTATCAATACACTTACCCCTTTAATCATATCTATCTCTTCTTGTGATGGGTTATAGTTATTATCCGCATCAGGCTTAATTTGGATTAAATTGCAGAATGTTTAAAGATAGTCTTCAAACTTCTCAAGCTCTGTTATAATGAGATTTTCATTAATGATAATAATCTTGATGGCTTTAAGCAACTCGATACAGTTTTAATATTGTTCATTTTCAAAATCAGCAACATACTTGAATTCTGTAATTTCTCTAAGCTTTTCAATAAGCTTTGAAGCGAAATTATCAATATCTTGCAGTCTGTACGATGATTGATTATTGTAATGTCTGACAAATATATCCTCAACTCTTAGCTCTCTTTTGTTAACACTGTACTCAAAGTCAATCAATTCAGAGTAGAATGAGGTATTTAGATTTGAAATCTGCTTATCAAGAGCATCTAATAGCTCCTTCCTTGTTTCATCATTCCAGACTAACTCTGGAGAGTTTTCCTCTCTTACTGAGAATTGCTGCAAAAATTTACGAGAGTCATATTTTTCAAAGTGAAGTTCATTATTAGTTATGATGAATGATGAAATTAAGGTCTCTTAAATTTTAGATCCAAAAATACTCTTTATACATTTCAAGAAGTTTTTCATGATTTCTTTCTCAGTCTCTTTAGTTAGATTCTTGAAAACGAATGACTCTGCTCCTAAGTTCGCTAACTGATGGGCAAATGAAATCAAGTTTTTCAAGGTTGCAGTTGCTTCTCTGAGAGATGCTCTTAGATCTGAAAATTCATTGGTCTGCTCTTTAAGTTGAAGATAAATGTACTTCAATGCTTTCCAGGCCATTCCAGATGCTATCAATTCAGGATGAAGTACAGGATTCTTTGTAATTTCTCTTGTCAGTTCAAATATAGATCTTGTCATATCAAAGATCAGTTCAATAGAGTGCTTGTCCATATAATTATGAATGATTTGAAGAAGACTCTGCTGATTATAGTTCATATTTGGATCTTTTTTGTGAATCTTTTTCCTATCTTTCAATTCCCTCTCCTTCTTAAAGTTATACTTATCTAACTCCATTATAAGTTGATTTTGAGTTGGCTTAGCAAGCATTTATCCTAAATGAGGATTGTATTATGATTGATTATTGTTTGTAATATTCACCATCTGCCATGATTAATGTGGATTTGATTAAGGCTAATTTTATTATGCCCTCTTTTGCTTCTTACTCTTTTTACTTCTGCTTCTCTTAGATTTACTATTTCTGTTATTTTTTCCTTTAGGTGATTGTTGCTGAATCCCAGTAAAACTACTAAATGTTCTAGAGTCATGAATGTGAACTTGGTTAGAGAGCAACTTATCTTTGAATAAAGGTAAGAGTGTGAATGAAGCATCTAGAAGTCTAGATATTTACCTAAACAAATTAATTCTGCTTACTAATGGGAAATCAACAAAAGCCAAAATATCAGTATTCAAGATTATATTAAAGGATTGAATGCATAGAGATAAAGTTTTGGCCTCAATTCTATCTAGTTTTATATTAGTTTTATCGTCACTTGAGGATGAAACTGTATTAATTAATGCAAGTTATTCAGTATCCTCTATGTATTTAGAGCTACCAATTGATTGGAATTATGTATTGAATGAGTTCTTCAGAATCAGAGTGAATATCTCACCTATAATTTCAACTCCAATCTTGGTCAGGGCTTCTTTTAAGGAATCAGCATTAGACTTGACCGAGTTTTAGATGAACTATTGGCTCTCTCTTCTTACAACTTGATAAATAATCTTGATTCCAATATAAATCATTTACTTCACTGTGTCATTATAAACTGGTTGATTCTTGCATGTATCAATTAAAATTCTCTTGATTTCATCTAATGAGAAAGTTCTTTTGTTTTTGAATCTGTGCAAAGTTTGGAGACAAGCCTTGAATAGAATTATGATTTTTTGCTGATCACCAAAGTTTTCCTCATAGATGCAATGCCTTAGCTCAATCTATAGATTTTTGTGGAACTCTTCTTCTTCATTTTGTGGAATGTCAAAGAAATTGAGGTCCTTCTTTTTCTAATTTACCCAGACTCTAAGGTAATATCTGCCGCATCTTACTTCATTCTCAATATCTGGATACTTAACAATATTCTTGAACTTTTTGTTATATGTTGGCATATATTCTGATTTTTTCAAGTCTTAAGCTGGCTGATCTGAGAACTCTTTGAGTTACTAGATAAAATCTGATGAGTGATCAATAATGCTTTATTCGAGAATACTTCTTAGTTTGCTATTCCAAATTAAGATTGGAGACTCATAGTTGTTCATCTTATAGATTTAAAGGAATTTCTCCTGGCCTTCTTCATATAAAAATTTGATGAAAGGAATGGGTAGGAATCTAAGAAATATTGATTCTGCTAAAATAGTGACCTTTTTAGCTTCTCCGATAACAATATCAGGGTTTTAATCTCCATTGCTTTTCTCAATTTCACTCTATTAATTTTTAAATATCTTTTCCCTGTCATCTTGAAGCATTTACAAGTCATTGGAATTGAATAGCCCTATTTTCAAGTGACTGTTGTAATCAAAACTAACTTCCTAAAATTTCTAAAGGATCTCAAGAGATCTATCTCCATTTTTAGTAGCCAGGGCTAAGATCAAGTATTCAATCATTCCAGAGTTTTTTAATTTGAAATACGAAAAGTGATTATTCATATGTGTTTCAATAAATATAGTCACTTCTCTTGACAAGTCAATGTTCTCAACCATCAAAGATTATGATAGTATTGCTAAAGATTATGGTCTTAATAAGAATTCTCGATTTGCTGGAAGAGGAACATAGTCAATAGCATACATCTCTCTAAAGATGAGATCTAATATTTTAAGGCAGAGTATACCTGTGCACACAAATTCAGAATTTCTCTTAAAATACCTCGAATTAGTTTTGGAGTTAGTATAATTTGTCTTTTCCAAAAGAAGACCTTCTCCATGAAGAATTCTTTCGTATTAATCTCTTGAAAAAGTACTTAATACTAGCAGTTAAGGATTACTCTCTGCTGGTTTAATTCTATCAGGTCTTAATAATTCCTTAAATACTAGTTTCATCTATCTCATTAGAGTGTGAAGCCCACCTGATTTTATAAACTTTCTCATATTTATGATTGAATAGTCTCTATTTACTGAAAGTGATACATGAATAAGCTGAACTAGAATGAAATGACAATGCTCGTATTACTGCTAATCAAATAATTTCAAAAAGTAAGGAAGTGATTTTAAGTCTTTCAGCTGTTCAAAATGCTTGTTGTATAATACACACATCGTCTTTAAAATGATTATCTACTCCTATTGGTCAAAACTAGACATGAATTTTATTTTAAGCTCTTGCCAGAAATGTATTGGTTTATCTATTGTTTCAGTAAAGTCAGGTCTTTAGGTTTCTAATAAATCCTTGTCTTTTAAAAGTTTAGTTAAGTAATACTTCCAGACTAGATATTTTGTTGTGAGGCAGTCGTACTTGACTCCAAATTCCATATAGTTCCATTTGAGATTAGTGGATCTTGAGATAACCTTTTTTAGTTTATTGAATTCATGATTAGGGAGCACCAATATTTTGCCTGAATCATCGTTTATTACTTGTTTATGTAGTACATGAGCCTCTTCAAAATCCTTCAGCTCTTTAAGCAGTCTAACTTTCAATTCTTATCTTGTCTCATCATTCCATAACTCAGTAGCTGAATCATAGTTTTTGGAGGTTATCTTAATGAAAAAATCTTCCCATTCAGTATCTCCCCAAGATAATGATATAGTTAAATCCAAATGAGTCTCCACCTTATCCACTAAAGTCTTGGGTATACATCTTAAAAGTAGCTAGATACTATCTTTGTTCTAATAGAGAATTTTGGAAAGATTATGTATCGAGGCTCTTCTTTGTTCTGATAGTATGCCTTCACTTTACAAATATAAATGCCATACAAATTAGACGCTATAGGTTAATATATATTGCTGATTTTCTAATAGCCTTTCAGGTTCACATCTCTTGTAGTAATTCAATGATTGATCGAAAATTAGAGTGCAGAAATATAAAACATCAAAGTGCTTATCACCTAGTAGACTTAGTCTGTCAAAAAGATGGAAAAATGGTTTATTTTTTAAAGGATCGTTATTGAATATTGATTTTGGATCTCTTGTTACAACTTATTATGGCTGATTTCCCTAATTTTTTATTATTTCTTCTTACAATTTTGTATAAATTATGTCATCTTCAAATAATAAGTCAGCAAATACCTTGATTTCTTCTTTAGAGGTAGATGATCTCCTCTAGATTAGTATTGATCTCATTATATTTTAAAGTCCAAATAAATGAATAGTCTTGACTTGCTTTGCACTATCATTTAAGTAATCAAAGTATTGCATAAATTCTTTGAAAGCTTAGAGGAAAAACATACTATCACTAGAGTCATTCGCTTGAGTTCCAAGATTGAGATCTTGGTTTACTGATACTTGACCTTGAGTTTATTATGGATTTGCTTATCTACCTCTAATCAATAGCTTTTTATTAATAATTTCGAATTTAGTTTCAGTGCCTGAAAAGTATTCAATCAGAGATCGAAGGACCTATGATGACTAAAGAGTCACGAATGGATTTTTACTGACTAATAGCTTAATGAGCTATGGAATTATCTCATCGTTGTCTGATATTTCACAGAAGACTGCTTTAGACTTTAGAATCAGATTCAAGATATTAAGATATTTAGATGTCCTTTCTTAAAGGATTTCATACTATTTGATTCGCTCTATGCCATCCTCATTGTAAATATTGTTTTGCTGTTTTTCATTCTAGTCTGAAATCATGGCTGATAGAATTAGTGGGTTCTGCTGGGTCCTAATAGTTTAGCTCTTCTAAAATAGATTTGATTTCTTGAATGTAGCATAATCAATCACATGATCATCAGCATTTTTCTTTAAGTAATTCTCCACTATTTCTTATTCATTAGCCTCAAATTGCAAATACTGTTCAAGATGGTGGACTATCTCCTTAAACACAATTTTGATGTTTTTCTATTCAATTTTAGTGACATTGCAGAAAGAGGCGTTCAAAAGTGCTTCTTCTATCAAGTTGTTAATCTTCATATTATCCTTGTAGCTAATGTTTTCTGTGATCTTTCTGAACAGCAAGCCCTCGTAGTCTTAAATAAATTGCTGATTATCAAGAGAGTCAAGCCCTAGAATCTTCTAAGTAAAATCTAACTAGGAATTGACAAGTATTTTCAGCTAGTCAATATATCCATACTGGGGAATCACAAAGTTTCTCAAAGTCATAATGCAAGATATCAGTTTCTCTCTTTCCTAAATACTAGGGACCAGAAGAACCATTTCGATCTCCTTTTTGAACATAAGCACGAGATCTATTATGAAATTAAGATTAACTATATTAAAGCTTACTATATATGTCATTTTTATCGATAACTCTGATCATTTCAAGATCCTTCAGCTGGCACTTCTTCCTTACTTCATTGCGTTTTTGATCAACTTCATAGATGTTTTTCTCATCAAGATCAATCTATACACCTGAGACTATCCCGTCCCATGTAAAGACTTTTACATTCTAAGAGTAACAGGGCTTGCTTTCTCTAACCAGGAATTCCAAATCATTGAAGATTTTATTCTGGTCTTGTGAGGTCTTGTTGATAGTAGTCAACTGAGTCTTGTATGTATCTTTGTAGTTCTTCTTTATTTGGATCAAGAATTCTAGCGCCTTTTCATCAGATCTAAAGATAAATTTATCTATCTCCTAGTTCTTCTTGACGATGATCAATTATTGTTGATTGATTATTATTCTGTCGATTTCACAAAGATATATAAAGTGAGATCTCACTGCTTGTCCTTGAATTTATTCATTAACTGGGACAGCAGATTCTTCACCTAAAATTGTTCCACCAATCATGCTTCCTTTGTAAGGTGTCAGCATTATTCCTTAATTGCTTTCACTTTCATAGCCAGATAGTTCCTCGTCCTCTTCATAGTCTTGATTTTAGAACATTTCAGCTCCAGAACCATTATCTTCAAATTCCAGCTCGCTCTCCTCTTGCTCACTTTAATTCCTTTTAGTCTCTTCGTTAGTGTTCTTAGATGTGTCCTTTTTAACGATGTTACCTCTAAAAGTTGAACTAGCAGCTAGTTTACCTCCCAGTCTCTTTCTATTCTCTGATTGCTTAATGATTACTTAGATAACAGATGGATGTATTTTTAGTTGCACCATTTATAGTTTACCCTCTTTATAGATATCATTTTGATGGTAAGCTTTGTCAACCAGGTAAGGCTTTTCCTAGTTGTAAATATGCAACTTGTGTATTATTTCAGTCAAGAGGCGGTTTCTATCCTTACAGCTGAACACTTACTACTAAGCATTTGCCTTATTTATAGTCTGCTGCTTTTTCTTATTCTCTGGTACCGCTGAAATTGTAAATTCTTTAGGGTTTCTTTCTGATGCCTGAACTTAGATGATAAGTTCCCAGTCTATTCTTGTAACCCCTCCATCTTTTTCCTCTCTGTCACTGCTTAGAGGCTGCATTTGCAGGTAGTTTTCCTGAAGAGAGAGGACTAGCTAAGACTTTGAGAAAAAGTGAGATCTCTCGATAAGATACTTTGACGCAATGCGAAATTATTTTTTCATTACAATCTATTTAATATTAATGATTATAAATCTTAAGTTGAAATTTAACAATTTAAATATAAATTTTGCAGGCATCTTAATTCAATTATTATCATTTTGTTCTCCTTTAAGTCTTCACTTTTTTCTTCAGCTTTCTTTGCATCCTAGTCCTTCATCTTCCTTAACTAGTTTAATTATTTTGGATATAATTTGTTCAATTTTGGACTAATTCCAAAGCATATAAGACTCAAATTTTATAGATATACCCAAATTAGGCAGCAATACTGAATAGTTGCAATTATGAATCAATAATTTCTATTTTTTAACAGTATAAAGCTCGAAACTCTGTTACATGCTTTAAATAGAGGGAATATGATGTATACGATGTGAAGAATTTCATCATAGAAATAGAACTTTAAATCCATTCCAATTTACCTCATCTTTGTATTAAGTATTGCCATCTAAATCCTTATATCAAGATATTTTTGGTTCTATCTGGTACTTTGAAAGGATTGATATGCTTTGTATTTTGATAGTTCAAGATCACATACGCATTAAATAGATTTACTCAAATCATGCAGCAGAGACAAATTATAGGTTCAGAATGAAAACTAATAAGATCATTTCCTTGAATGATTCTTATCATGCTTCTAATATATTTATTCTTGCCAGCTAACTCATTTTACAAAATCTCAAGTTTTTGGGGTTGAAAATTAATACTTATGTTATGAGGATATTTAAACTTTAGCTTTTTAGTTCGATATGGCAACTTAGTACATTAATATCTTTAAGCTTGGGTTAAACGAACTACTAAACTAAATTCTAAAGGCTTGATATCTAGTTGCTTCCCAAATTTTAGATATTGAAGCTTGAAAAGAGGTGGGTGATGTTTCTTAATGTATTGCTTGCTATTACTCTTAACATTATTTTTCATAAAACTGGAGTAGATTTTTCATAAACAGTTTAAGAAGCAATAACTATAGGTATAACTCCTCAAGTTTGCCCCTATTCTAAATTGTTACAAGGATCTTAAACATATTGTTGATTATTCTCAATAGCCTTATAAATTGCTATGGCCAGTCCAGCTTCAATTACTAATCATCTCAATGGGGTTAAAACTTATGCTAAGATACTCTAACTTAAGTCACTTATAAACAGCAAATTCATTGTATTTATAATTGAGATGTCTTATCATTTGAGACTTGTAAATTTTCCTCTTTAACTTATTCTTAACTAGGCCTTTGCCATTGACGATTTTGTTATATTTTGTAGATTAAGGAATCCCTAATGTTTCATACTTAGCTTCAAGATTACTGCTGCTAAGAATCTCAATAAGTCTTTTATCATAGAATAAAGAAGTATATAGACTCATTATCTGGGGCTTAGTAAAAATATTATGATAAGGATTCTTGATTCCGGACAATTTTTACTATTTATTCAGCCATTGCAACTTTGCTTAATTTAGACTTTAATATAATTAAAGTATTTTATTTTAATTCACATCACTTATTCTATGTTTTATGATTATTGATGGGGTTTTGGGGTTTTGGGGTTTTGGGG